CAGCGATCTGTGGTCGTGTTCCACCTTATCGGGCACTCTGCTCTAGCTCTTTTTGTGGTTGGTTTGCCGTGCATAAATTTGTTCGTTATGCCACGGAAAAACAGGGTCACACTTCGCTATCACAAACTGGCATTTTGTCACGTTTTTTATGGTTCGTTTTCGGGTTTTCCTCCAGCATTTTTCCAGCGATTAAGTGTATCATGCATCCAAATATGCTCATTTAATGCGCACTTGGTCGTGGTCTTGGTCTTGGGATTGAAGTGGAATTGCGCCTCTCTTTTTTTAGTAATTGCCGTACAGGAAATTAGTTATTCACATTGGGTTGTGCTTAATTTATGCATCGCTATAATTGTTTGTGCTGCTGGAAAATCGTTTTCATTGTTCGTGTGCGGGGCAAAACGGAAAGTTCTCGTTAATGTGGGCGTTATCGAAATCATTACGTAGAAGCAAAAAGAAAACAAACATTTCGGAGTGGGGGAAACTCCATATATTTGATATGTAACGAAACGTGTGAGAAATTCCCAAAATCCATCGGGCTTTTTTTATCAGAAGAAATATGAATGGGCGGGACCGCTGGGAAAAGTAAAGTGAAAGAAACTTTGATAAATGACTGATTGATCGGGAAGCGCTAACTAAAGAAAAACTTGGTTTTCCTGGGGGCAGGCACTAAAACCATGTCAAACAAAATTATCGGCGGGACAAGTTAATGTCCTATAAAATATGAATAACGAAAGTTTACCGCTTCTTGGGAGCTAAATCAAAACAGAAATTAACAACAAAAATTATTCAAAATGCTATGCTATTCCTCCTTCCCCCGAAAACCCAAAATGATTTATGACAAGGGGGCGGGCGAAAAAAAGGGGGAAAAACGAAACGAAAACCGAAACAAATAAAACGAGAACATTGAAAATCAACCAAAACGCAAAGCGCAGCAATTAAAAACTCCGTTGAACTTGCCGGCAGTCGTAAACCAAAACTGGAGAATACAGAGAACGGAAAACCGAGATCCAAAATGCATTGCCCCAAAGGCTTTGACAAGAGCAGAAAACAATTAAACTAAGATTTAATGGTTTTCACACATAATTCTGGAGTCTTGTATAAAATAAAGGATTACCCGAAAACCCAAAAAACACTTGAGAGAGATTTAGAGAATTCCAGACCACCCCTAACAAATCATTTATAAACATAATTGCTCGAATCTCTTGAGAATCGGGTTAAAGATAAAAGATAAATGTGGAAAATCTAAAAGGAAACAAAGGCGCCGCAGGCCAAATGTTTTTCAATGGGAAAGCCCCATGGAATATTTTTTGGAATAATGATTCTAGTGGCTTTTCCACCAAACAAATTGTTCTTGCCGCATATCTATAACTACGTTTTTAACACTTGCCTTAGACCTCCTGTCGTGCAGTGGAAAATGAAATTGGGCTTGTCTTTGTCAATAAATATACATTTATTTTCTTTACGCGCTGCGACTATAAATTAAATCAGAAAAACCCAACGACCTGAACAACAATAACAAACAGAGAACCGAGAGTTTTCTTGTAGGCCATTTATTGCTCTCAATAATGAAGCCATTACATTCCGTTGAGGGGGTGTTATTGCAGTCAATGCCTAAGTGCAAATGGCCATTAAAAACAATTTAAGGGGCGGATCACCATTCTCAGCAAAAGCATTTAGAAATATTGCAAATTACTGCAAATAATTGACAAACATTAAGTGCCGAGTGGAGTGGAGGAAAATCGGGCCGTCGAAAGGCAACAGCTGGCTAAATTTACACAACATTCACTTGGAAAAATCAAAGGCTCTTGTACAAATTCCAGACTCGAAATTGATGTTATTGTGATGACAAATCAACCTCAGAGTTGGAAAAGCTTTCTATCTAATGAAACTGCAATTCACACAGGAGTAAGGACGAGTTTTTCCCAGCTGTTGATGTCAGGGGGTTGCACTTGATTTATGTATTCTTTCCTTGAGAGTCCCGAAAGTGCTTTCTCATCGATACCATACAATTGGATATGTTATTAAATGCTGCAACCGAATTCAATTTTCGCAACTGTTGCCAAAATATCAGCTTAGCTAAGTGGAAGGTCGCTGGGGTGAGGGGGTGGTGATTTGTGCAGGGCGGAAAATTTGAACATTTGTTAAAGCGACTTATTAATGTTATAATCTAATTATGATTTGCAGCCTTGGCTTTGATATCCAGGCATAAAAAATAATTTGTTCTGAAGGGTAGAATATGCGGGTTAGTTTTTTCCTGACCAGGGGTAAAATATATCCAAATATGGGATTAATTGTAAGCTGCTATGTGAGTCACAAAAGAGGGATTTTAGTTTTTATACTCACATGATTTATTGAGGTAGCCGATCAGGTATTAACTGCAGCTGTCCAGAAACTTTATCGGACCCCCAAAAAACAGTTTCAATTAACTTGAAACTCAACCTCGATTTTGGTATAAGCCGACAGGATGGAAGTTTCCTTTATCCTTCCGAAGCGCTAATTAAGTAAACAAAAGAGGAAACCTCTGAAGCCAAACCGGAGCAGCTCAATTAATAATAAAATGCGAAAATGGGAAAATGGGAGCGAGCCAAGCGTAGCTCGTAAACAAGCCACAAAAAAACTTGAACTCATAATTTCCGGAGGTGCTAATAAGTTGCAAAATTATTTTCAATGAAAATGACTGCGGGAGAGCGGGGAAAGTGCGGGAAAATGGGGGCGGGGCAGCGGTAAAAGTTGCCAGGGCAGCCGCAAAGTATAAAAAATTGACTTCAATTAAAGTGCCATAGTTGCCTGTATAAACAGCACACGGAAAAATGAAAAGCGCAAAACGGGAGCCGAGAGGATAATGATAATTACGGCCAGCCAGGCGAGGGGCTGGGAAAATCGGGAGCAGGAGGACTTTGGTTCCGACTGCTGAATGAGACTGCAAAGTTTTTGTGTTTATTTTATGCTACTGCAAAAAAGAGACCAGAAAAAGACGATGAAAGTTTCAATGTAGTGCGGCTGATAAAGAGGAAAAAAAGGGAAACTGGCAGGAGGAAACTGCATCCCAGTGGGTGGGTATAGAGCAGCTACATACGATTACGAGGACGTTAAACAAACAAGCAAAAGGCAATGTGTAAAACCAGCACAGAGAACACAGAGGCAAATGAAGAAGCCAAATGTAGAGCGCGCATCATTGACACACACACACACTGGTTTACACACCTTTATAGGCAAGGACTCATTCAGGACACACGTTTAAGATCAGAGTAATAGCAATCCAAATCGAGCTGATTAAATTCCAAAAATTCCAAATTGATAAAAAATAAATGCTGAAAAAAATTAGCTTGTTACAAAAAAAACAATATTTCGGGTCGGATTTATACCATATTTAGGGTAACTACATTTTATACCAATTTATTTCGAAGTTAAAAAAAAGTCAAAAAAAATAAATTTTCCAATTACTAAATTGGAAAACGAAATGATTTATTGAAAAAATATATGTTAAAATCACACGAAGGTTTTTATGCATTAAAGCTACTTCTTGACAAATTTAATTAAAATATGATATTAATCGCTTAGTACAGCTGCAATTCTAATTTGCTGCTTTGATTTTTATATAGTGTTATAATTTTGACCATGGCTATAAATATCTACGCCTTCCGCCAATAAAGAAATGAAAAGTTGAAACTTGGGTTGGCTTCTGTCGCTTTTTGCTGCCACTGCTACCGTTTCTGATTCGGAACCAGAATCAGAATCTGCTGCTGATTCTGCTTCTTTGCTGTCCGAAATGAATAACTCGCCAGCGGGCCAAGTTCCCCGCTCCGCCACCTCCTCCTCTACCCAGCCCCTTGGCCCAGTGGTGTCACCCCCTGCTTCCACCAATAACCACCCAACCACCCACTGGGGACTCAACTTGTTGAGGAGTGACAGACCCACTCACTCGCCCGCTAGTCCGCTCACCAACTCACTCACTCACTCACTAACCGAATGAATGACTGACTGACTTTCCTACCCCCAAGGTTCATCGTCAGTCCGTCAGTCACTCAAACTCGCATTTCATTCCATTTCCATTTCATTCACTTTGCCCGCTGCCGCTGCCCAAAACATCCATGTCTCGTCTTTCATTTCGCTGCTCCTTTTTGTTTCAGTGTAGTTTCCGTCGGTTGTAGTAAATTTTTCTCATTTCGCTTTTTGTTGGAGTGGTTTTTATACCCGGTATTGGTAGAGGGCTGTGGTATACTAGATTCTGTCGGATACTATAAGATGGACGAACACTTTTGGACCGAAAGGAATATGTTTTCAGTACTATGTTCATTAAAAAAGCCAACAAAATATTGGACATGATCAATAAGAAAGATGATTTAGACACCCATTCGAAATAACATTAAACAAAATATGTAATAAATTAATAACAAATATAATAAAAAATTAAAGACATGGAAATCAAGTAAAGTATGAATTCCCCTTTTATTCAATTTTTTTATAGCTCTGTTATTTATTGTTGGCCAATCCCTTCCGGTTCTATTAATCATTTAGGTTTACAAATAAAATAAGCTATGTAAAAATTGTTCTTTAATTATATAATTTTCTTAATAAAGACCTATGTGAGAGTATTACGCCTTAAGATAGGCAACAAATTAACGGGTATCTCAGAGTCGACTATCTCATTTTCCGGTTCCTACTTCTATTTGCGCTGTTGCTGTTTTGAGTGTTCCACAGTTCGCGTGTGTGTGTGTGTTTTGAGCACAGCAAATGAAGAAAAACCAACTCACACACACACACACTTACAGAACGAGAGAGGCATAGAATGAACTAGCGGTAAAATGCATGAACAACGCCGGCTTGCCTGTCATGAAATTTGTATTTGTATCTCAGCGGCCTTCCTCCCTTTCTCCCGCTCTCGCTCTCTCTCTTTGACTCACCCCCGCCCAGCACACTTCACCTCACCGCTTCTTCTTCCTTCTCAGCGCTCTGCGTCTCGTGCTCATTTTCCGTTGTATTTCTCGATGCAGTCGCCCCGTGGATTTCATTTTCTCTGCGCACTTCGAACTGATCGCTCGTATCGCTCCCGGGACTCGAAAACCGAATTCCGACCTCTAATCGAACCCAAATCCGAAACCCAACAATCGCCGGACTTCGACTTCGACTCGAATTCCTTTTACGCGCTAACTTATTGAACACTTGAAGGGCACATTAAGTTCTGAAAATTACGACTTTAGCATATTGTGTTTGTGTTTAAAGAGCAAAGTGTAAACAATCCGGAAGAATTATTCCCCAAACTGACGAAAATGGGTCGCCTGTTCCAATACAATCGCTTTGGCGCCACGGATAGCATCAACAAAAACATCAGCAAAAAGGATACTCAGCACAAGAACAAGATGGTAAGTTTCTTTTACACAAGTTTTCAAGATTCTTCAAAGTAGCCTTTAAAAAAACTTATGATATATAAAATAGTATAGAATTTGAGTTGAGATTTTGGGTTAAAGCTTAAAAGAGTCGTAATATGACAAATTGTTCAAGGATTTATACCATATTTGCTCCAAAGACGGTCTAAGGACTATCTAAAGACTGAAGCGTTTTGATCTATTCTGAAACCGTTGGACTGTTATTTTAATTATAACAAAAGAGTATTAAATAAAAGTTAAAAAATTAGATATTTATTTATGATTCAGATAGTAGTTTATTTTCCAACTGAACTTACATCTGATATACATATGTAGATTAAAATGATCCTTAAAATAGAATAAATAACCTTTAGATCAGGCATTCAATAGATATTATTATCTCCCAAGCCCCAATCCGTCTTCGTAAATATCCATGCCCATGATGACTCAAGCAGTTTAGGGTTCTGTAGAATCTAACAGGCTAAGCACATTTCACACTCCCCACACACCATCGAAATATCTCTGTAGACAACCCACGCACACTTAGCACTATCTACAGTGAACTCCCCACTATGTCGACCAGCTGAGGGAGCGGGAAAGGGGGACATAGCCAAATTCAAAACACGAACGACAACAATTAAAATGATTTAGTGTCACAGATACCAGAAACAACACAACCGCCACACAAAGCCAGAGACAACAAAAACAACGACAGTGCAGCATAATAAACTCGACTGTCGACGTAAATCAGTGGAACACTAAATCACATAGGGCCAAATAAATATGATTTGCATAAAAACTAAATCAAAGTATATATGCAAACAGAAAGGGCGATAGTAAGCGACCTAAGCCGAGCGTAAATCTGAATTCAAATAAATCAAATTGTAAATGCAGCCTGATTTCTGGCGATAAGTAGAGCAAACAAACGAAGCCCGAGTCGGGAATTGAAATCGGAACATATGTTCGGCCCCGTATAAAGATAATGATTGATTTGAGAAAACGCATTTCTATATGCAAACAAAGCGCATATGTTATTTGTTTTTGATTGGCGATAAGCGCTAACTAGGCTTTATCGTCTAGCCGCGATGCCCGAAAGGCGATAGGCGCGATAGCTTAATTAAGACAAACTACCTGGCCGTGCTACCTGAATGCAAAGTCAACTTTCCTTAAGTCCACAGCTACTTTACTTTACTAATCTCCTTATTTGACTTGGGATGCGGAGATGCTGCACAGAGATACACAGATGCAGATACAGCCATAACAATGCTCCGACATCTGAGCAGCATTTATCAAAATATTTGTTTAAAAGAACCACGACGAACAGAGAAAAGTTTGTAATTTTAAACTGAATGACAGTTTGCGTTTTGCCTCCTCCTTTTATGCCGACCTCTGCATTTTTCATCCAGTCATTTTTCACTGGAATTGACACCCATCGCCTTCTGTATCTCATGGCTCGTCTCTCGGACTCTTTTTGTTTTGATCTATGAAAATCTGTCTTTCTTTCCTTTTATTCGGTTTTTCTGCTTTTGGTGTAGGTGTTGGTTGTTTTGGCTCCCAAAAGGATTGTCCTTTGAAATGGGAAGTCTGGGTGTGGCCGCAACGGGAGTTGTTTTACCAAGAAGACTCGAGTCCTACAAAAGACTTCTTCAAACTGAAAAGTGCAAGAATGCGCCCTCTTATATCCCTTAGATGTCCGTGTATAAATCGCTCGACACCTCCTCCCCGAAAGCCCCACCGCTTCCGTTATCAAAATCTATTACCAGACACAGTCTGTTTACAAAGCCAACTGGGTGTGCTGACAAACGATTTCAATTAGCCGGTTCGCAACAGATAAAAGGCATCTCGCCTATCACGGGTCAATGTTACAAAACGGAATCGTCACGAACTGCAGTTCTGCGGCACATACATACATCGAGAGACCAGAACTAATAAAATTGTCACACAACTGTTGGTCTTCGGTCTGTCTGAAATGACCATATGCTGTCTGGTTGGTAGGGAATCGCTTATGAGAAGGAGGGAACTGCAACCATATTGCTAGATTAAAATCGAAGACAATTAAGACGGAAAAGATAAACTCGAGTTTCCAGCGGTCTTATTAAAGCAATCTTCGCTTATATGGGGTTTATTCTGTCGAAGTGTTTATGAACATGAGATTATAGCTGGGATGAGTATTTGATTACATTTCATTAGGCAGGCACATTTTTAATTAATCAAAGAAAAAACTTTTTCCAACTCATTTGATATTCCCCTTGAACTATAAGAATTTATTTGAGCAGTAATATGACCCATCTCCATTAACAATTAAATTAAATTAAACTCCAAAAATGTAGGAAATATTTAAATTAGAAACAAACAATCATCCATCATAAATTTAATAATAGGGAGACAGTTGATTAATTAAAATGACAAACTGTAATGACCATCAAATCTTTTGGATTAATGATGTGTTTATAACTATTTATAAATTAGCCAGCATAGTCATAGTTGTATTAAATTGTTAGAAATATAATATATTGGCACACCTACTTAAATTTGTAATTAACAAATAAGAAATGTTTAATAATATCTAAACCTCCTCGGACATTCAAAATAAAATCTAAATTTTTCCCAGCTCAAATTATGATGTACGAGGAAAAAAAAAACAAAACAACCGTTTCCGCATAAACTTTGTTGAACAGACAATGGATTCGAGCGATTTGTGCTAGGGAAATCAGGCTGAAAGCATTTTCCTCCTCGTGTGGCTTATGATGCCATGCTCTGGTGCCTTCAACGCCCTGCCTAAGTGGATTTCTTCGACTGCAGAGATCCCGTGATGGGCCTCATAATTCTCGATGAGATGCAGCTAAAATTAAATCAACTGCTGGCGACGATTAGCAGCAATGAGCTGAGGCATTTAAATTCTAAGGCATTTTAATGCACTTTTCCCTAGGAACTCTGGCTCCCTTTCAAGGCCAGTGATTAATGTTTATTTGGAGTTCGTGTTCTACAAATGTATTTACATGCAGACTCTTTGATTTTTGGGGGCCCCTGGAGAGGAAACTCTAAGGATAGAAAATTAATTGCACCGCTTTTAAGTGCATTTAATTAGGAATTTCCAAGCAGACGCCTCGTTCACTAAGCCCAAGATTTATTGGGGAAACTGCAATCTGCAGCCTGCACAATTGATGAGCATAATTAAATAGCCGACGACTGCAAGCAGGCGACTTGCATGCATTGTAATTTATGCTCCATATTTTGCCCAACTGCCGAATGGCCCCGTCGCTTTGAGTAAACAACAATTTCACTTATTTTCATGCCGTCTGCCGCCTCGACCATCAACTGTCTGCATTGTTATTTTTACGCTCGACTCAATATAAATTTTGCGCCCCTCTTCGTTTTGTTCGCCACATGCCACGCCATGAAAATGTAATGCAAATATGCAAAAAAGCTTTCAGCAACGGGATCCGAACGGCCCAACCCTCTATATCTCTTTTTTTTGCCCCCTACCCCTTTGCCTCTTCTGGCTACAAATAGTTTTTGGTTTTGGCTTAGTCTGGCCATCAACCGGGAGCCGAGAACCTAGCCAACATCATCGTTATCACCAGACCGTTGTCCGTGTTTGAGTTTCATATGGCTTCCAACCAAGGATTTGTGTGCATTAGACGACTAGTCTCGGGGAAAACTATGTGCAAGCCCAGTTACTAGACTTTCCTCACACAAGCCGACGTACTGGAGTTGTAGAAAAAGTTGTCAGAGTCTCTAATTAAATTGTTCACCAGCTCTCAAAGTGATAAATTCCAAGAGTTCGTTGCCTGCTCTTCAAAAAAGAACAAAACTTGAGATTCATCTCTTGAACAACCCACGCACAGCAGAAGAAACCCCAAAGAGATATGCCCATAGAATGCAATTAAAATTTCAACAATTTTCATTTGCATTTAATAAACCCATCAAAATGGTTTTTTAAACACGCATAAAACACACGGTTGAAAAGAAACAACTCAATTCGTTTCACATTTCAATAATTTTATATGACCCAATTTTTTACACCTATAAAAATGCCACAAAAAAAAAACAAAGGGAGGCCATAAAAAAGCCAATGCCACACGCCATATGTGTCTAAACAAAGGATTTTCCAGCCAGAGGCAAAGCTAATTGTAATAAAAAATTTACAAAGTATACCAAAAACCTGAAACTATAAACATTTTTCCTGGCATATAAAACTAAATTAGTGAGAAAATCATTTTACGAGCCCCAAAAACGAACTCGTTTAACCAACTAAAAGAAAAACTCACTGAAAAACCGTATTTTTTCAATGGGAGCGGGAGGAGAAATGTGTGCGGGACGTGTTTTAACAAAATGTCATAAACTACTCGCAAGTCCATGTATCTCTGACATTTTGAAAGCCCCGACACGTGTGTCCGTGCTGGGATCACTTTGAGTTTCTTTTGGTGTGGCATAAAACTGTCAAATTAGCTGGAACTAAAAGCAAGATGACTACAAAATATTCAGAAATGCCCGACTAATGGCCCGAAGCCAAATGAAATATTACTAATTTCGATAGGAAAATGTCTTAAGGAATTTTCAAAAATTCATTTGATATTGCTAGAACTGAATTGCGAGTGGGTGGCACGGCAGTATTTAGGGGGTGGTAAAATGGGAGGAGTATTGTTTTGGCAGCACAGCTGCTTTGGCAATTGCCCAATTTGTGAGCGGATAAGTAGCCGGTTAGCGTTATTGCGGTTGCAATTTAAAAGCCACCAGTTCACCAGTAACCACTTCCGAAGGTGGAAAGTTGTGGGTTGCATGAGTGTAGGGTGGTTTTGTTTTTCAAGACCCTTCAGCAGCTGCTTGATTTTCCAGAGCTAACTCAAAAATTCAGGCATATGTCGGTGGGACCTCAAGTGGCGCACAAAGGAAACATTTCAATAAATTCATCGACTCACTCCGGGCACTTCAACTAATTTCTGTACCCCCCTCTAAATGCACAATAAATGAGAATTTAACAACTGTTTTTATAAGGCCAAGAGGGAGAAGGCCAAAAGGGTCTGGCTGGTCTACCTACCTTCTTGTCTGTCAGCTGTCGAAGGTGCCTCGATTCATTTACCTGAGTTTTTATTGTAACACATTTTGATTACGAAAATATGCTAACACCTCGCAGGGCAAACAAAGAGCTGGCCAAGAATGGAAAGCCGGCCCGAGGCGCTGTTTCATCATCAATTAGAGCTCAACCTTTCCGCAGGGCAGGATCGGAATATAAACCAAATGGAGCTGGGGATGGACGGACCTATGATTATTGCATTAGCAGACCCGCCATCAAAAGAACAGGGCCAACACGCCAACACCTTTGGGTCACTACTGTGTGCTGGATTTTATTTCGGGGCCAGCTCTCTTCGGGCTCTATTATCATTGAAATTACTGTTCCTTTTCTTTTGCCTGGCTTGGCCTGGCCTAGCATAAATTAAAACTCATGTAGCTGGCAAGAATCGTAGTCATTAAACGCTTGTTGGCCCATTGTGTTTGATTTAAGCCGATAAAAGGTACACTTTTGAGGCATTTCACGCCGCTTTTCCCCCGCCGAAACTTTCAACAGATTTATGCGCTGCGTGGCCACATCAAAGAAAACTCTTTTGGCCATGGCTCGTTGGCCACGAATTAATGGCCAACCGGCCAAGATGTAGCAACAATTTTCGGCCCGCTCCATGTTTGTTCACAGACAAACAAGATTTTCAATTGGAAATGCAAATCAATGGGATGGCCTGCAACGGAAGTTCTGCGTCTGCACTTCCTTTGTTTGTGTTCCCAAACCTCTAATTTATTGAACGTGTTGAGTTATGAAGACCCCTTCCACTCGCAATCGAATTCAATTTCGTAATCCCACTTCGAGCTCTACCTGGTCGCCAGAGTTCCTTTGTGTCCTGTACTCCTTTTCAATCGATTGCTCATTATTTTGCCATTTTTCCTTCGAGTGTGTGTGCGTGCTGAAGGGTGCCACGAATTCATGGATCACAATGCACAATACCGAGGGGTGTATGTGCATAAGGGATAGCACTGCAGCAGTTAGAATTACCGGGAAGTTTTCGAGAAATCGAAGCAGGAGGTTGATTCCCAATCTATATTCGTTAGTTCAAACCAGTGAACATTATAAACTACCTCCATCGCCGAGCAATTTCGGTTGTTAACGTTTTCCATATTGTAGATCCAGACATTCGACATCACTTCTTCTTCATAATTTTAAAAACTAAATATTTAAGGAAATATATAACTTTGATCTAGAACGCCTTACTTTACCTTACGATAAATAGAAAACACTTAGGCAAACACATAATAATATTAGGTTATATCATTTTGTCATTATATAAAGCAGTTTAATGCCTTAAAAAAATACTTAGTGCAAAGCAAATACTTCCCCCCTCGAACTCATTTACAAACAGCGACAAAAGTGTTAAATATAACCACCTTAAAGTGCGAATTATTTAAATATTGTTAGGGCGAAAGTAGGTGTTGAAAAAAACCCACTAGCAACCCTCGACAGGAGCTGCATATGAATATTTTATAAGCGAAATGAAAAGCAAATACGAGCAGGGAAAACAACGGACTGGCAAATTGTACAACAATGAACAAGTAGAGCAAGCGCATTACAAGGATATCACAGCAGCAGTGACCCAAAAGCATTAGCAGAAGCAGTCCTCGGGTTTTTATAAGGGAATGGGACTGAGAATGGGATTGGCCCAACAAAGGCGAAAGCAGAACAAAGCCAGGATAATGGGATGGCAGTGTGTGTTATCTGCGTGGCTGTTGCATAAGAGCGCTGTTCGAGTGAAATGGGAAACCCCGAGGCAAATAAGATTTATAGGGACAATCCAGACACTTTCTACAAATTTTCCTGACCAAAACTAACAAAAAAAACCACCTTGTTTGTTCTCCGTCCAACAGCTACGTAATGCCATCAAATGTCCAGGCTACTCGGACATCTATGGCCAGTACAATAAGGACGCGTCCTTCGAGAAGTGCCAACAATGGAGCGACAAGCTGGAATTTCCAGTTGCCGGAGATATGGATAAACAAGAACCGATCCAGAGTCGCACGCACAAGGTCTACGACAGCATGAAGAATTTCCTGCAGCGCAAACTCTTCGCACAACCCTCGCAAAAGGAACAGACCTTGAACGAAGAACCCACAAGCGACTATGATGAGGTGTGTATATCATATGACATTAATAATGGTTCGGAAAACATTTAAGAAAACAAACATTTTTGGTCCAACCTTTTACAAACTAGTGTAAATATGTAAAAAGCATTCACTACAAACGCTTTAACTTAATCAATATTAATAATATTTGTTTTAAAAGAAAACATCTTTAAAAAAACTTATACCAAATTAATTGCTTCTGAGAGGAACTTAATAACTACCTATCTCAAAAGTAAATATTCAAATTTTATATCTTGAAATATCAGATTAAAAAGTAGTCTACAATTAACAATCAAGAATCTATGTAAATTAGTATTTTGATGTGTGACTATCTTAGGTAAAATATTGTGGTTGGCCCTAAATAAGTTTTCATAAGTGGTACCATGACTTTAAGAACCCTTTCTTTTGAATGGTAATTTAATTGGTTTTTCTCCTCTCTCTTTAGCAGGACCTTCTCGACTCCTCGTACCACGCCGACGCGGAGGAAGAGGAGGAGGAACGCGATGCGGACTGCAGCTGCAGCTCCACTGGAAGTAGCACCACCAGTAGCAACCCAACCACGCCCAAACGCTCGCCCCAAAAGTCCTTACTTTCCCTCAACTGCTGGCAGAGCAGTCAGCCGAGCAGTGACTCCAATCCTGAAGAGGAGGAGGAGGAGGAGGATACAAAGGAGGACTCCGACGCTGGGATATCCGATTGCTGTCAACTGTTGGCTGAGAGCTCCCCCAATTCCTTGAGCAAACGCCGCAGAGCCGCCCCTCTGTTCACCAGATACATCAGTGCCAACCAAAATTCTGATGATGATGATGACGAAGAGCCGGAGCTGCTGGCGTGTCCTTGGTATCAGCCCAGGATTACGGCAAAGGCCGCTTTGGAATACCTGCAGCCGGCCACACCTGGAAGCTTTCTCCTGCGCCGCAGCACTCCGCGACATTTCGAACTGGTCCTGCGACTCGAAAGGAGCAACAAAGTCAAGACCTATGCTGTGCAGTCCACCCGGAATCAGATGTACCGCCTGAAAGGAGCCAAGAAGCAGTTTACCAGCCTGAAAGCCCTCATCACGCACCATTCCGTGATGGCCGAACAACTGCCATTGACACTGGATTTGCCCAGGGAGCGTCATGTGGTGAAACCCCCATCAGTGCGCTATGCAGATGACTTCGAACCCCTGGAATCCCTGCAGCTACTCGGCATCCTCAAGAGTCTGCAGGCCAAAAGCATCGAGATATAGGAAATAATTAATAAGCGGGGTATCAAGGGGCGGGCATAATAATATCGAACTGCAAAGGGAACGATAGGTGAAAGTAATTAGGAATTTGTTTTGTTCTATGCATAAGTACATGTGATATAGTTTACGGACTTGCGGGCTGAGCAACCCTCGAATTTAGTTAAGGTTTACCAACTAATTGAAATATTTTGTATCCGACGTAGGCTAAGTTTTCTATTGTGAAAGTGAAATATGAATAAAAATCGAACAATGGCATTCAGCGAAAACGCAACCCTCGAGAGTCTAATGTGTCCACGCCCCGGCAATCAATGCGTTTCCTGTCGACCCCCGACCCCCAGGAATCCTCCTGGAGGGTTGGCCAGAGAACGCTTCACTTACATGTGATTAGCGATTCGAGTGGCTCTCATTAATTTTTCAAGTGCGGCTCATGGAGCCCTCGACGCAATTCACCCGGCAACATGTTGCTGGCAACCTTTTGGTGGCATGAATAATTACAGCTGCTACATTAGTTACAACATTCAGTGGGGGGCTCTATTCTGTATTATAAAGTGATGACACTGCACGCAACTGAATAACTCATGACACCTTTCTCGATGATTACCAGATTTTCATTTTCCATTTTATCTATTCACTCAGAAAATAGATTGATAGTAACCTAGTTATATCAAAGTAAAATAAAAGATGATTACATCGACTTATAAAAAAAATGCTTTTAGCATATGGCAAAGACAACATTCACAACTAAGTTTTTATATATCATTAATTAAAAAAGTTCTCATAAACACTTATTATTCCTGTTACTTTTAAATTAAAAGGCTATATTGTATTGAAATTGTGTAATTGTGTCGATAAAAGCGTTATCGATCGATTTTCTTAAACCGAACTATTAGCCAAGTCGACCTTGCCATGACCATCTTTCCAGTCTCTTAGTTTTAAAGGTATCTAAATAAAACCTTCCCAAGTGACTTCTAATTGTACTTAGTACATGAGTCACAACAGGCCAGATCGGACGTATATATCTTAACACTGCCAGAGAAACAACCGACCAGTAAAAGGAATAAAGTATTTGTCTGTTGTTTTTCAACATGTTCTTAAATATAGTCAATATAACTTTCGATATCAGTCGACTGAAGATCGATAGTAAATCGCAAAGCATAGATATATTGTCGATTGATTTACAGCTCGACTTGCACATGTAATATACATGGCATTGTTACATTTTCGTTACATACATTATACATTATACGAAACTTCTAGCGCATATAGGTATGCTATGATTTTTAAAGCATCTCCAAAATATGATCCATCCTAAAAGCAGACAGCAAAACTGGAATAAACTCGCAGGATACGATTATCTGATATTAAGCACAATTATCTTAGGCTAATAAAAGCGTTTTAACAACATTTTCAATATTCGCCAATGTCAGTAATTTCGCTAAACTGCCAGTGTGTAAATCGGGCTTTTTATGGTACATGATTGATATTGGATATTATTTGCTTTCGCCAAATAAAGGTCATAATTCACAGATGCAAACCATTGGCAGGCAAGTGCATAAAATATTTAAATATACTACAAATATTCGCACTGACAGCAGCAGGACAAAAGCTGAACCCCAGAGGCCATGAAACAAAAGGCCATTAACAATAACGAGCCCTGGAAAAAACATTGGCAAACAGATTACAAATAAATGGAAACGCTGACAGCATTAATAACGTTACATCATTAATAAGCGAATCGAAATGAATACAATAACTGAAAATGGGAAATGTATTAATTATGACAATAAATTAAGTGAGCGCGGGCATGGTTTCTTTTAGTTGTTTATTTATTTATTTAATTGACGCCAGTGCTTTCCGATTTATATCGAAGTCACCCAATCATTAATTGCCTGCCAATCAGTCCGACCGCAAAATTGAAAAATTTCAATGAAATTGTCTTCGAAATTACCAGAGCAAACAGAAATGGAAATGATATTAACAACTGAATTAATGAAGGAGAATGATAATGTTCCTAATGAACAATGCAACCCGAGGGCCCTAGACTGGCAGTATGTTTACAATGGCTCACATCAGATTATAGTTTCTGATAATCAGAATACGATGGCTGTTCATATAAACTCTGTAGAGGAATCCTTCCAAATTTTGTTCACCCTCATCCTTTTGGGCCTGCTACTCCTTTCGGTTCTCCAGAATTGGACGTAATGGAATTCAAATTGAAATTCAAACAGGAGCCGGAAGTGTGTGTCCAGGCATATATGGAAATAAACATTCCACATTCTCGCTAATGAAGTGCTTTCATCTACACTGTGTGCTGACTTTTTATCCCCTTTCACTTGAACTGTTTGCATAATTTTTGCAACAGTTTGTTTAGCTTTTCAATTCTGACAGCTGAAAAGGCAACAAAACCGAGAGTGTCGTTCTGTAAATTTCATTTTCATTTGTGTATGCCTCACTAATTACGAAATGGTTGCAATAATTCCAGAGAAGGCAGCCAAAATGGTCCCTTGGGAAAAAGTAAACACAAACAAAGGGTCATGCGAATGGTAAATTAATTAAATGAAAATTAGAAAGTGGTCGATTTATAAAATTATAATGGTAAATTTGCCACTTAAAAAACGAATGTGATTATTAATTTTTGTTCTTCTGACATCACAAAATCAATAGAAGTTTATTAAAAATTAAATACATAAAATCGAATAATATGACTTAAAATAAAATCAGGACATTTCTGTTAAAATATTTACAAAGGAAAGTTTGAACTAATTAAATGGCTTAACCTGCATTAAACGGATTAGAACGAATTTTCACATAATTCATTCCTAGTCTATGTTTTTTTCATGCATTCAAAGGTAAATATTAAATGTAGTTATGTAAATATCTATTATTAACGAATAAACCTTGCTTATCTATCAGCTTAATTATTACTCCTTTGATTCCTGCAATTTGATTATACTTCGGTGGGTTCTCACTAAACCGCCATTCATTTTCACTATTCTTCTGTCTATTCACTTCCCACCTTTTTAACCTGATGCCACCCGCAGCTAATTACAAAAACAGCTCTTCTATTGGAACAGCCCACCCATGTCCTGGGAAAATCAATAACTGAGGACGAGTACATCCATGAATGGTCAATCATTCAGCTGAGATTCTGGCTACCATTCATTCATCCGCATTACCAAAGGAGCTGAAACAGGAGCAACAGGAAAATCAGTGGGAGCAGGAACCCCACCGATGAATGGCATTTTCCATGATGTTGCCTGGATTATCTTCTGTTTATATGGGATTTATTTGCCAGAAGGGAAAAGGGGAAAAGGATGCAGGAGCAAAAGCAGGAGCAGGAGCAGGAGCATGTGTTGCCATGACGGCCGCCGGTGCCTTTGTGCGCCTTTTGTTGCTGCCAGTCTGGCATTGCATAAATGTTTTGCCTTTTAATTAGCACGCATTTCACATTCGACATTTTGCAGTGGCCTCCGCGCTTGCCTCTTAATGCGCTTAAAGCAGATCCAGCAGCCTCGATGATAATGATGGAAAATATTGGCCAGCTGAGGAGAAAATTCAATCAGCCACAGCTTCGAACTTCCAGTTGAGTAATGCAATCCGAAGAAGGCAAGACGTAAACGAAGAATACAGAGTGCACTTGGAGTAAACTTCCTTAGCTTAATAAGTTTTTGTAATTTAATATTACATATTCTAAATAACAATTTTATTCATAAACTTAGAAATTGTTTATTACATTAATATAATATAATTAATATTAATATTATTAATTTATTTTGAAAAAATATTATTTTGCTTATACAATTCAAAAGTGTTTACAGTAAATATAAAATGGTCATTTATTAATATTATATATTATACAAAATATTTATGTCGCTGATTAATGAGGACTAATTTAAATATTTCGATTAGCTCAAACTTATTCGACGTAAAGTAAATTTAATGGTCGGTTTTTATCAAAATTTCATTTTATATTTATTATAAATGAATAATAAACTGTAACATATATTTTAAAAACTACAATTTAATAAAAATTTAACTAATTTCAGTAAAAAACTTTCTTGAATAAATTGAATATTTGTAAACCTTACTTTTTGAATGCAAAATAAAATATCTAGAAATTTTTTGTTGAGTGGCTAGACCACTAGCTTGCAGCAGAATGGCGGAAATTATGTGCCACTCGAGTGTCCAACGAGCCGTGACCCGAGTATGATGTAAGTCTGAGAAAGAAGTGAAAAAAATTGTGTCAGCAGGGGCACGCAACGCACAAGGATAAGGGATCCGCCCGGTGGCTGACTGACTGCCCGACTTATCCCTTGTCCTTAGCTACGTGATCCTGCGACGACAGCAGCGCCAGAAAGAATGCAACAAGCCGCGCAAAGTGCACTCAATTGTTTAGCTGCCCCTGGGTTGTAAGGCGTACGGCCCAGGGGGGCTTTTTAGAGGAGGGGGGGTAGGTTCCTTTGTGGCACACAATCTATATAAAACAGAAAATCAGTTGGCACTCGGCCAAGTGCATATTAAAAGCAGTCCAACTCTGAGGTTCAGAAAATGATTTTAAAGCAGGAAAATCTTATACAAAAGCAAGATAGAAGAAAATTTTGCAGAATTAATTATATTAAATTGCCCACATTCTGCTTTGTAAATATTTACTTTTAAGTTCTTGTATCATCTGACACAATAATTACCCATTCCAATACAGTCTTACAAAACAAACAAAATAAATTAAAGAGATAATTGACCTAAATTGTATGTTTGTTTAAAATGCTTTTGAAAATTAAATTAGTTATTACAACCCTTCTGGCATTTAAGCCTGTAAATACTTTGTTTTAACATTGTTTGAGCTCAGAATAAACTAGTTTTAATTAATCCTTTGGCTTAGCCAAAATGGTTCTCATTTCGAAAAGGTGAACAAAATAAGATAGATTTATAGTGATTAAATAATGCAAAAGAGCTTCTAAGAATTAATTGTTTGTTATTTCTTTGACTAATTGATATCTGCATTTGAATTTCGACAAACTTATTCATTAAACTTGCTCTTTATTTCATGAGGAAATATTTTTCTACATTTATCATTTAATCTTTTAATGAATAGAAATGTGTATGGTTTCGGGCACTTATAAATAAATAACCCAAAATTAATGCATTATATTTCCACTACTAATAGCTGTCATAAACGTTATCCTATACCGATAATGAGGCTTTCAGGATTTGCATCACAAAATCAAAATGATTGTCCGTTTCCTGTGCTTGCTGAAAGCCCTAAGAATAAAT